GAGAGGGAGCACCAGGTTTGAAGACCCCCTCCGAATTCAAAGCGTCCCTCCCCATCAGGCTTGAGTCGACACATAAGATCATTATGAGTGGAGTTCTCGGGGACCTCAAATTAGTGTAAGGCAACTTTGATGTGTCTGGTGATCGAATCTGAGTCTGAAAGCTCCAGAACTTGGACTACGGGTTTTAGAGGGGTCAGGATCGCGGATCAGATTATCGGCCTAGACGCTCACGGGACAGGGTTTTGGAAATCCGGAATATGGGCTTGAAAGTTTAGATACTCCCAGAAGCCGGATTACACTATCACTGCTGGGTGTGTGGGCTCGGGTCTGAGATCATGGGTCTAAGACCCGGGCCTGGGACAACGGGGCTGCCCATTAGAATTGGGAGCACGCATCTAGGACCATGATTCTGGAAGTCCCCCAACCCCAGGCATAATTTAAGGCGTACCTCCCAAATCCATGGGCTCGTATTTTAGATTCTGAGACAGAGGGTGGAGGAATGTCCTGGGCGGGATAACGGGGACAAAACAATTCTGGAGGTTCGAATCTGAGATCGTAAACCTCGGGGACCCCTGAAGCCGGGACTTTAGGATTTCGTCGGGTCTGGGGCCGTAAGGGCCGAGATTACGGAGTACAAAGGTAGACTGGCCAAGGGTGCTCACCACCTCTCTCACAAGTCCGCGGGTCCGCTCTTCTTTGCTGCTCCCGGGCCTCTGGCTGCGTCCGGCTCGGTAGGGCGGGACCCGTGACTCAGGCAGCTTCGACCCGGTTAGCCTCTGCGGAGCCGCCCAGCCGGCGTCCGCGCGGTCCTACAGCCGTCCCTGGAAGTGCGCCTGCGCGTGCAGGCTCAGCCTAGCTAATGGGTTGCAGCCGCTCCAGCTTCGCAGAGCATGCTTCCGGCCCTGCGGACTGAAGCCCCACGCTGATTTCAATGGTCGCAGGTCTTCTCAAAACCTTTCCAACACTGATGAGGACGAACGGGGACGAGAACCCCAAGGTGACCCCGTAGGTTGTACTGTGAATTTTACCCCGAAACCGGTTTCCACACGGCTACGGATGAATTTTTAGGTCCGCTCGAAACAGGGGTCTTGGCTCTCGGCCCCTTTCCTGGCCTTGTCGTGACAGCCTCTGGAGACCCCTGAGTTTTATTTGGCTCACGGCCCGGCGACAAGCGCCCGCATCCCTGGCGGAGACTAAGGCTAGACTAGACTTCTCGGGACCTTCAGCAGCAGGATGGCGGTCAAACTGGGTAGGATTTTGCTGCCTGCAAAGGTTGCCTTGTGCCCTCTCCACCCTCTAAGGGTCACCAGAATCCTTTTTCCTGGATGGGCCCAAAGTGTCACCTCAGTCTTTCCGTCTCTAAAAAGGGCCCTGGACACAGAAGAGTCGGGTGGTGGGCGGAAAATGCAGAAACTGGGAGAGAAAGGGTGACTCGAGCTGCCTTTCGAGTTTTTTCTCTTGCCTTCTGGTTCGTTTCCAACCTGTGTGCACGGTTCTTTTTCAGGCTTTTCAGATGAAGCTAAAGATAGCTTCCAAGCAGGTTGCCTTCTCTGGCCCTTAGCCTCTCCCCTGGAGGCTAGCTAGGCTTGAGTTTGAATCTCGGCTCTGCCCCTTTATAACTATGGCATACCAAAACAGTGACTTGAAATTTCTGAGCGATGATCTTTTAATTTATAAAATGGAAACAAAGGTTCCCATGCCCCCCTCACTAAGCCCCTATTATAATTAAGTGATTAAAGCTTTGTAGCTATTATTCTCTGTATCCATGCAGTTCCCTAGAGCCCACCTGGATTCCTCAGGTAGTTGACTCTTGCCCATTCTTAGATAACACTGATAGAAATAACTCCTAAACAGTTTCCATGTATCAGTTCATGTTTTCATTAGGACCTATATATTTTCTCCATTTTGCAAATAAGTAAACTGACTCTGAGGTTAAACTCCCTAGTTTGTACTCTTCACCACCCTAATGCATTGATTCTTCAATAATATAATTAATATGATAATAGCTCAGATAACAAGATCAAAACAAATAAAACTCATAGTCAAGGCTAATGCTACCTGAGGGCTTGCTGGAACCAGGGCAAGGAACTGCTACACAAGCCATCTCTATGAAGCAGTAACTAACAGGAGAAAAAATGGAGGTTCTGAAGGCAGAGTAAATTGCCTGTGGTCACAAAGGGTGTCAGGACCGGGTCTGAACCTGGGCTTGGCTATGCCAAACATTTCGTGATGACTAATCCAGATTCCCTTCTCACCACACCCACCCTGCCAGACTGAGCAGCTTCCGTTCTCTGCCCTCTCCAGGGCTCACTTCCTGTCAGGCCTTTCACTGGGGCTCTTCCCTCCACCTAGAACCCTCCACCTTGTGTTTTTTGGGGGGTTTTTTGGGTTTGTTTTTTTTTTTTTGCCTGGCTTTGTAGCTACTCAAGGCTTTGAGGTATCGGGAGTCACCTCTTCTAGGAAGCCCTCCCTGTCTTCACCCCCATCTGAGACAAGGTGCAGCTTCCAGTTAACATGCTTATAATGTGCGCATTCTCATAGTGCTCTGCCAATTGCAATCATATTGTCATCCAGGTCTGTCTGCTCAACCTCTTAACCCTGGCCAATTCTAAGTCTTAGACCTCGGTCCATCTCTCTAGCCCACTCATGCCACAGGAGATCTCCCTCACATGCATGGCTTAAAGTCCATCTTCAGGCTATCAGTACCCAAATTTCTATCTTCAGCCCAGACATCTCCAGGCCCCTGCATCCTACTCACCATCTCCATAGGGGTCTTAGAGGTATCTCAAGCTTCAGGCATCCTAAACTGACCTTCCTCCCAAAACTGCTCCCTCTCCACCTTCCCCATCTAGGTAAATGGCATCTCTGTCCTTCAGTGATTGACTGAGACCAAACACCCGAGGGTTGTCTTGATCTCTCTCTTTTACAGCCACTCCAACCTGCCGGCAAACCTCTTTGACCCTACCTACATAATCTAAATTCTTCTCCCCTTCCACTGCCACACGCTGGCCCTGGTTCCATCTTCTCTTTCCTGGACCTCACAGGAGCCTCCTCCCTGTCTCTTGTTCCCATCCCCACCCCATAGTCTGCTCCCTACATACAGCCAGAGGGAGTCTGTGAACCTGAGTCAGATCAGGGCCCTCTGGGCGCAGCCTCCTCTGGCTCCACCTTACTGCAGGTAAGAGTCAAAGTTGTCACCTTGGCCTGCATGGCTCACTTGGGCATCGGCCTGTAGAGCGAAAGGTTACTGGTTCGATCCCCCATCAGGGCACATGCCTGGGTTGCGGCCTGGTCCCAGATTGGGGTGCATCTGAGGCAACCAATCGATGTTTCCCTCCCACTCTTTCTTCCCCACTTCCCCTCTCTCTACAAGAAATATTTTTTAAAAAGAGTCAAAGTTCTCACCATGGACACCAAGCTTCTGTCTTGTCACCTCTGTATTTCTTCCCTCTTATGAAAATAAGAAGCCCTACTGGCAGCTTGATAGAAATGTTCCCAGCAGAACACAGACAGGAGTAGCAGGCTCTGCAAACACAGTAATACCTAAGCAGCCCCTCTCCTGGCACACAAGAGGGCCCTCTCTAGCCCCACCTCAGTGCCTCATCCCTCAGTGCCTCAAGTCTACACACCTAGTGATCTCAGGAAGCTCCTCTCAGATCTCTGATTTAACCCCCACATTCCCCATCCCACACCCACACTGCTCTTACATTTAATGACCTGCTAACATATATTAGAGCTTATTTCTCCAGTTTCTTGTCTCTCTCACCCACTGGAATGTCAGCTCCTTGAGGGAAGGGATTTTTGACTGTCTTGTTCACTGCTATGTACTCAGTTCCTAAAACAATGCTCAGCACATTAGGTACACAAATATTTGTTCAATGAATGGAAAGTTTTGTGTGGATTTTCTCACTGAATTTTTAGCACCATCAATAAGATAGTACAGCAAGCATTACCAAAGTCTTCTACCATCTTCCAGACTCCTTTGAACTCAGGCATGGTTATATGACTTGCTTTGGCCAATAAAATGTGAGTGGACATGTTGGTAGGGTCACTTTCCTGCGGTAGCATTTAAAAGCCAATTCAGGATGCTCCATGCTCTCATCCCCTTCCTAGGCAACCTTGGAAGCTCTGCACACACAGAGATACCACACGAGGGATGCTAGCTGGATCAGTGAGCCATGACACATGTGCCTGTTTTATGAGCAAGCAATAAATTTTGAGGTGCTAGTCCATTAAGATCTAGAACTCATTTGTTACCACAGTGTAACCTAGCCTATTCTGACTGATGCAGGTAGAAGTGCGAGAGTTAAGATTCAGACTCGGAAAGGCTGGCTTTGTAGCTCGTGCTTTTAATTCTCAGAATTTGCTGCCTCAATGTCATTAGTTTTGCAGTGCCGCCAATTAATAAACTGGAAATAGTCATAACTACCCTTGCTAATGCCTCCTGAGGACCTCACGGGAACTAGGCTGGCATAACTGCTATACAGTTATGTCACTATAACCTGCTATACAGGTACGTCTCGCAGGGCCTCTCACAGCCCTCTGAAAAAGGAACTAACATGAGAGGAAGTGAAGGTCACGAGAGGTGGAGTCATTTGCCTGAGGACATGGCAGAGCCAGGTCTAAACTCAAGCATGGTTGATGCTAAATAGTTATGTGATGACTAATCTGGATTACTGTCCCTCCACTGCCCTCCCTTCAGTGTATTACTAAGGGTTCTGCAGACAACCAACAGGCTACAGAGAGAGAAAGAAGGAGATTTATTATAATGAATTGGCTCACATGATTATGTCAGCTGAGAACTCACATGAGCCATCTGCAAACTGGAGGTCCAGGAAGGTGGACAGCTTAAATAAATCCTGGTCCAAGTCTAAAGGCCCGAGAACCAGGAAAGACAATGATATAAGTTCTACAGTGAAGACAGGAGAAAACTCATGTTCCAACTCTACAGTAAGGCAGAGTACTAATTATTTCTTCCTCCACCTCTTTGTTCTATTCAGGCCCTCAGAGGATTGGACGACACCCAGCCACATTGAGGGGGGCAATCTGCTTTGCTCAGTCTACTGATTCAGATGCTAATCTCATCCAGAAACACCCTTGAAGACACACTCAAAATAATGTTTAGCTAAATATCAGGGCATCAAGTATACTGGTCAAGTTGACACATAAAATTAACCAGAAATTAATTAATTAAAAAAATTTAAAAATACTTTGTTCCTGCTCCTCTCCCCAGGCTTCTTTGCTGCCAGGCTCTTCCACAGGCTGTGCCTCTGCAGAAACACCTGCTCCTGCCATTTTTACTTTGGAGTCAAGCCTTTTTGACTTCCCCCATCACAAACAAGAACAGGTTGCCCTGTTATAAGCTCCCAGGACTCCTGGAATTTCTCCCCCAAGACACTCATAACAAATAACAACCTGTAATGTTCAACAGTGTTGTCTCTTGGACTGGCTAAGGGGCCTCATGATAGGGGGAAGCGCTGTCCTAGGAAGTGGTGTGAACTCAACATCACCCAGCCCAGAGCTGGGCATGGAACACATGGTCAAGAACTTTGGCTATCATCATCATCATCCTTTGGGGAATTATTTATACAATTTAGACTTCCTCATCAGAGTGAAAACTCCGTCAGAAGACTGTGTGTTCATGGTTGTACAGCAAAACTTCCTTATCCTTCTAAATCATGGTTCAAATGGCACCCCTCCATAAGCCTGATCACTTTGATATCTCAGTATTCACTTCACAATGATTCTATATACCGTGCAATATGTACTTTTTTCTCTTTCTATTGTTATGCTGTATTTCACAAAGATGTTTAAAATATCTGGTAGTGCTTACTCATTGTAAAAAATGTATAAAATAGAGCAAGGTATATTTTGTTTTAATTGTTTAAAAATGTTTATTGATTTTAGAGAGAGGAAGGGAAAGAGAGAGAGAAACATTGATGTGAGATTGACTGGGGTTTGAGCCTGCAACCTAAGTATGTGCCCTGACCTGGAATTGAATCCCCAACCTTTTGGTGTACAGGACAACACTCCAACCAACTAAGCCACACTAGTAAGGGCAGAGCAAAATATATTTTAAAAGGAAAAATGTACCAAATTTTCAGAGACAACCTTGATTTAGTAGTATTTCCTTCCTGACTTTTTTATGGGAAAATTTTTATAGATTTCTGACCATATCATATATGGAAATTTGCACCCTGCCCATTTCTGCAAACAACTTGTATTACCCTGGAATAGCAGCTATATTCCCTTTGACTGCTCACCTGTGACCTGGCCTCACTGTTATACATCTGCTCTTTGCCCTGGGAAGTAACCAAGGAGACAACCCTCAGTACAGAGGGCAGAATAAATGAGACACCAAAGCAAAGATTTCATCTTTCAGTTCACTAGTGTTCTGAACAGACAGAGTGAGTCTCCACTCCCTCTTTCCCCTTCCTACTTACTGCCAGGAATGTGGATGTGATGGGAGCCATGTTGGACCATGCAGGCTGGGGCACTGCCATCCATAGAAGTAGTTTGGATACCTGACACTAAGAAGCACTCGAGCTAGCCCTGGATTGCTTACACTCAGGCTTTTGTGGGAGAAAGTTCCATTTTACATAAGTCGCTGCTACATTGAGTCCTATTACAGAGTTTATGTTAAATCCTATCTAACCAATGGTGCCCACTATATACTTCTTGAGCAATTTCCCATGTCTCTAAAAATATAATTTTGTGTGTTCATAATATATTATCATCTGAAAGTTACAGAATTTTTTTTATTCATTTATTCAACACATATATTGAGTGCCTCCTACATCCAGGCTCCTGGATGTGTGGTGGGGATGTAATGGCGAAAAAAACTTAGAGAATTTATGTCCTTGCAGAGGGGGACACAACAAGGAAATAAAGTAACCCTTCTCTATTTTCAGATATAGCATGTCCCAAAATATGTGGCAGAGATTGTCTAATTGCTCACCAAAACTGCTTCCCTTTGTTTTTCCACACACAGCTGAACTACATTTCCCAACATCCATTGTAATTTTGTATGGTTATGTAACTGACATAAAGCCATGGCACTTGGGCAAATGTGTGTCCAGTCTCCCAAAGTTGGTCTTCATTTTTTTCAACACCCACTGGCTCAACAGAGGAAACTCTAAGGCCCTAGAAGTGGATGAAGCCACAGGGCAGAAGGAGCCTGGATCTCTGCTAGACTTTGTGGAGCAGTGACCTCCAGTGACTTGCATTGGACTATGGTGTCAATTTAAAAATACAATGATTAATCCACTGAGTTTTAGAGGTCCTTCAGTTAACAGCAACTAGCATTATTTACTTTAACTAATGCACTCCATGAAGAAAGGGTTCTGTGGTAGACTGATTACAAAACTAGCTTAATTTTCTACCTCTTCCTCTATCCTTGTCCTGTGTGATTTGACTTTACAGCTTTTTCTCACATCAAAGGCCCTTTGAAGCTTAAAGCTTCACTGCCATTGTCCTTGACCAATAGAACGAGGTGAAAGGTTAGTGTAATGCTTCCCAGCCTAGGTCTCAAGAAGCCTTATGTGCCCTGGACTCTGTCCTCAGCTTTGGGAAACCATAATTTACATCTTTGCTGATCTGACAGACAAAAGGAAGTATCTTCAAATACTAGTGGAGGTGAACTTGGCTTTTTTTTTTTTTTTTTTTTTGGTATTCTATGAACTGTCTTTTAATACTTTATACCTGTCTTTATTTATTGGCTTTTTGTTAATTTCACATTACTTTATTAATATCTTTGTTTATTAAGGGAGTTAAGAAATTTTCTGTCATTTTTGTTGCAAATATACTTCTCTACTAATGTATATTCAATTTTGGCAATGCCCTTTCAGGACATATTCTGCTTTTTGTACAAATTCATTGATCTTGTCCTTGGTAGTTTGTTCCCCCACTATGTGGAAGTCCAGAAAGTCTTTCCCTCTACAGAAGTCATTCAATAATTGCTGGTGAAAACCTTTACCTTTTCATGGTGTAACTCCTATCCCACTTCGTACACACATATCATTCTAATACAACTGGAATTTATTTTGGCATATCATGTAAGATGAGGTTCCAAATTGATATTTTCCTCCAAATAGGTGAGAGATCAATCCAATTGACATGGCACAATATTTCTGTTTTGTCTATTTTGGTCACAGCTGTAGCCACAGCACCTAGAAAGCTGTCCGGCATGTGGTAGGATCTCAATAAATGTGTTGAATGAGTGAATGGATGGATGAATGAGTACCATGTGCCAGGCCCCATGCTGTCATTATGATTATTTACATTGTGAGAAACATGTAGTCCATTCTTTTGCAAAGCCTATAGGTAGCCAGAAAACTTTTCTTTAATCCTGTATCAGTCACAAAAATAAATTAGAGAATTTGTAGAATGAGGGAAAAGGACCCAAGTTAGTTCCTTAAAGAATGTTCTGTATAGCAAGGAAGGACTATTTTTAAAACTTGACCATCAAAGCTTTAACATTCCTTGCATCAAGAATAGGGATTTATAACTGGGAGAGGATGAGAGTTTGTACCATTAGGAACTGTCTGAGGTATAACAAATACCTGTAGGTAGCATTTGCTTAGTTCTTCTTGGGTCTATCCATTAACCGTGGCTATGATTAACTTCGGCTGTATTTTACTAATTACACATCTCACTTAGCAGCTAAATGAGATCCTGTGTACTACTGAAAAGCCTCCAAGGTTAAAAAGGAACCATTACCAGTCATCTGTTTATCTATTCAAAGGAACTGGCTGAGGTGGGAGCAGCTTTCAATGCAGGAGGTTACACATTGCTGACTCAGTCTTGTTTGTCTCAGGTCCAGCACCTTCTCTTGGAGCTGAAGAATGATTTGAGGAAATGGGTAAGCCCAGCTTAACTGCTCAACTTAATGCTTAAGTTAGAGGTCTAAAGAAAGAACAAGCATATATAATAATGGATGCCAACTCTTGCAAAACATCAAAAGAGATAATTTCAAGCAATTTCTTGTATGTTCTAGCTGTTCAGATTTGCATATAATCATTTCAGTCTTTATAAATAAAAGATTTTTTTAACTTCAAAATAAAAAGCATAGGGATTTATGAATTGGGGTGGATTTGTGATCAGTTTGATGAATAGACAACAGCAGAAGTGATACCACGTGACCTCCCACACCGAGTCAGAAAAGGCCATGCAGTTTTTGCCTGGTTCTCCTAGAACACTCACTTTGGAGAAAGCCAACTATCATATAAAAAGTCCAACTACCCTGAGGCCTTGAGACTACCATGCTGGAAAGCCATGTGGAGGTGCTCTAGTTAAAGTCCTCACTGAGCTCCTAGCCAACAGCCAGCAAAGTTACTGAGTCACTTCCAACATCTAGCCTACTGAAGCCTTGAGAAACTTCTGACTCAAGCACATGAGAGATCCCAAGCCAAGCTCTTTCCAAATTCTTCATCTTCAAAAATGCAGGAAAAATCAAATGGCTGTTTTATCTTGCTGAGGTTTAGATAACATTCAATGCAGCAATAGATAATTAGCATACAGGTGCATTAGGTAGCTATTGTTGCTAACAAATGAAAACCAAAATTTAACAGCTTAAAGTAATACTTATTATCTGATATTTTCTATAGCTCGAGAATTCAGAAATGGCCTAACTGGGTGGTTCTGGCCCAGGATCTCTCGAGGATGCAGTCAGGTTGTTGACTAGGATGCAGTCATCTCATGGATTTGACTAGGGTTAGAGGGTCAGTTTTCAAGGTGGCCCATTCACAGAGCTTTTGGCCAGAGGTCTTGCTGACTCTTGGCAGGCCTCAGTTTTTCACCACTTGGACCTCCCTATAGGGCTGTATAAGTGTAACCACAACATGGAAAGCTGCCTTTTCTCAGAGCAAGTGATCCAAGAGGAATGTCAAGGACAAAGATACAATTCCTTTTATCACCTGGTCTTAGAACTCAAACAACATTACTTCCGCCACATTCTGTTCGTAAGAAGCAAGGCACTAAGTCCGGCCCACATTCAAGGAGAGACCTCTTAGAGAGAGATGTGTTAAAGAATTTGTAGACATACTGGAACATGCTCTGCTGCTGTGGGTTGTATTTACGCCCAGACCTGTTCTACACCCTTCCCTCTCTCTGCATCCTAGCCCAGTTCCCAGTCTCTCCCTTCATCTACATTCACCTAGGGTTCAGCCAGCAGGAAA